AGAGGGTTGTCAGGCCGTGGAACTCGCTTCCAAGCGAGATGGTGACGGCTGACACAGTTTGTGTGTTTAAAAGAAAACTTGCTCGTCTAGTTTTCGACAGAAATCGGCTTGTACAGCATGACTATGCACAGCCAGTTTTGTAGAATCTGTCATATACAATCTTCCGCACTAATTTACAGTGACCCCATGCACTACCTTATGATTACGATTGAACTGTGACCCAATCACATTTTAAATGCCTGCAATTTTATTTTATATTTGAGTATGAATCTGCGAAAGCACTGTACATAAATAGGGTCATCAAGGGCTCTGCCTGTAACCCTTCAATATACATATACATATTGTGGTTTTGTAGATTAGAAAGGGGACTATTTTTGCCATTTAAGCTTTTATATAATCGTTCCTTTAACCCACTCTTTACTTTAAGACATCTTGTCCATCGCCGGCGTAACAGTCACCGTAAGGCCTTTTTATTTCTTCCTCTGGCACCTATCGTTAAATATCGTCCGTTCTTTTCTGTAAACGCAATTGCTTGTTGGGACAAATGAACCAGGAATGTGAAAACTCTGCAAAATTAGCCCTAGTTTAAGAGAACTTTTACTCGATTTTTGCATTCAGAAAAGCTCTTACAAATTTTGGATACTGAATCGACTGATCGACTTTACTGTAGTGATGGCGTTCTTTGTCTCTAATCCCTATGGCCGGTCTCACGAAGGACAATTTCTTTAGCCAACAGCAACAGCTGTTATTCAGTGTTTCTTTGTTGGTCCAGTCCCAAGTTTATGAGGTAAATTGCGACTGATAATGTCCGACGCAGTTCTACCCCTCCTTTCTTGACCGTCCTCATTTCATGGACAGCAGTCTTTTTTCTCCTAGAACCCTCCAAACCATAAAAAACCACCATCACCTTTATTTCATTCATTTTTTTGCCAAGACTTTTTTCACTGCTGACCCTATTTGTGTTTAACCTTCCCTGGCAATGCCTGTAAAGTGACATTAAATACAATTAATGTAGGCTCCAACTGCCAGCTTATAGGAACTGTTCGGGACAAAGAAACGTTTAAAAAATTGTTGAAAAAGTTGTGAAATTCTCACTGGCAAGTTGTTTGAGAAAATTTTATCAAATTTCATCCGGTTTTAGTGACTTTAGTTAGTCTAATGTCTGTCATTATCTTCGGAGTCGATATTCTGAGAGGAGTGTATTTCTAATGCGTGGAGTTGGCGGATTTCCTGCAAAGAGAACAAGGAACCTTGCCTCTGTTGTGCTAACAGATGCGAGATACGCATCATTATCGCCGCTTTCAGCAGTTTCAACGCCATGGGTAGTCTTTATCGAAGGGAATTGATATCTGTTCCTCGTACTCCTTATGGGATAACTGTAAGGTAACTTCGGATTATGCGTTGCTTTTTGCACGAACCACTTTCCGAATTTCCGTCCCGTTTTAATAATTACACTTCTCTGTTTGCTCGCCCAGTGACGCGGTATTTTCCCGAAACCTTTTGCTTCCTGTTGATTTTATTTTTAGGCTGCTTTTCAGCAACCATACCCGCTTGTTCTGTCTTACGCAGTCAGTAGACAGTGGTTGTTGGGAGGCTGCAGAGGAAGATTTTTAATCAACTCCCAGTCATCGTTGCATTGCCCACAAACATTGAGCTCCAGTCGATGACGGATGAATCTGCCCTTATTTGATTGAAGTTGTCTCGTCAAAGTTTACATCCTTTTCGATCCTGAGTATGGAGGACGGAGAATTACAAATAGTCCCACACAAGCACTACATAGTCGCTTCGGCCGATGGACAATATGGAGATAGCCCCGTTTATAGTATCTGATGTTTTCGTGAAAACTGAATCCAGGCAGCCAGTCCTTTGTATCTTGGGCGACAATTTTTTTTATATTTGAAGGCTTATCAATTTATTTTCATCTTGTCCTTTTGAAGAAAGAGTTTCCTCTACTGTTCACTAATCGCATTTCATAAGCATAACCCAGCGTTATACATGAAGAAAAGTCTATTGACATGGCCTTGCCTCCCAGGATTAGCGCTTGCTCTCTTTATAGTTGCAAACAGGGGCCCGAAAAGCGAGCTAAAAGCGTAATCACAGCAAAATCTGTTAGTTATGAGGACGAGCCGTGCACTGGGTGCTCCTATATTGTGCTAAAAGTCCAAAAACTCGAAAAGGAGATGGCTGTTACAAGGGGACTCGTGCAAGCGAACAATGGTGGGCAGAACGCGGTTAACAGCGCTAGAGTTAACAAGACAAAGTGGAAGAGCAAAACTCCAAAACAGCCAAAGAACAAGGTTTGTGGAAAACCTCAGTGCAAGGACGCCGACGACCTTGAAGATGGTGAAATAGCAACGGAGTCTCCTTTTTCTATGGAAGACAATTGAAGCAAACCATCAACTACTCTCAGTCATTCTGACTGGATAGTAGGACCCTCGGTTTGAAGTGAGGAAACAAGCTCGTGGCGAGATGGAATGGGCAAGCACCACAACAGGAGTATAAAACCCGAGACGACTCCGGTGGATCTCCTGAGACCTTCAGCTGACAAGGACGCCGGAAACAGAACAAATGAACCCCTGGATCGTCATCACTGCGCAATCGTTCAGAGCCTATCGGAGTCGAATGCTCCTACCCCGAAGGAGAGGATTTCCGCTGTCCTTGATATGCTTCAAAACCTACTGAATAAAATGCTTAATTCGACTTAAAATGGAGTCATTAGTGCAGCATTCAGGATCGAAAAGAAGATAAGATAATTATTTATTAAAGACCCGCCGAAGTCCTATCAAAGCAATTCAAAGTAAATTTAAATGCGAATTTTTGTCGAGGTAGGCAGAATCTTTACAAAATGCAATTCATAGTTTCTGAATTAGTAGTCCATTAAGACGAATGACTAGCGAGCGGTAAAAAAACTCCATACGAATTTTAAAAATGATTGGATTAATTTTACATGAGAAAAATACCCCTCAGTAAAAATAATAACAGAAAAATGCGGGCAGGACTGGCCTGTAGATGGCGGTGTATAACGGATTGTAGTCGGACATCGTCAGGGTAGAAATAAATGTCAGCCTTGAGGGGTACGTATGCGGGTCAGACAGGGTTGGCCTGCATATGGTATTGTATACGGGATTCACAACTGACATCGTCCGGGCCGGATTGATACGCCAGATGAGACTATTCGCGTCAAAGAGGCCAGACGAGAGGAACCTAGATGCGATCGGCCACAGTACGCTTCGAGCCCAGCCGAGGAGTGGGGAAGGGAGTTACGACCAAACTAATAGTAGATGGCGAATACTGAGGGTTCCGCCGTGAGCGTCGACAGACCGCATGAGGTCGGAATACGGGAGAGGACAACAAGAATCGCGAAAATTGTCGCTATGGGGGAGGAGTGCTAGCAGTGGATTTAGAAACCAATTCAAAACAGCGGTTTCTAATTTTATAATTGAGGATTACCACTGGATCTACCACTAAATCCCAGGAGGACCCTTCTCGAAGTCAAGAACCTAAGTGTTCGGGAATGAAACCGTTAACAGTGCCTTTATGCTTTCCGGTGTAAGATGTTTGCGTAATTTCGACTTGAATACCAGTAACTTAGGCGATCATCTAATTTCAGGCGGAAGATTATTCCAAAGGAAGGCATATTTGGAAGCAAAGAAGAGGGAGCGCTTAGATGTAGTGCAAATAGGCGGCGACGGAATCACCATGGAGGAGTGAGAGTGTCAATGTGCGGAAGACTGGAGCTAGAGTTGATGCGAAAAAGGAAGCAAAGGCCAGCTTCGAGTCTTCTAACCAACAACAACTTAATGATCGCCAGCTGACATCTGCGAGTATAAGAAATACTGGACGAAGCTTGAGAGAACAGTTTCCGGGTGAAAACCCTCTGAAAATTTGTGATCTCATAGCGATAACAGGTCTTCATTAAACCAAAGAAAGGACAGCCGTATTCAAGGACTGGAAGAACAAACATTTGATAAAGTCTTAGCTTCATTTCCGGAAGGAAAACATTATGCGATATGAATCCACATATCTGCGCGGCTTTGGCAGAGATTCTATCTGCATGAGGTGATAAAGCAAGCTTATTTGTATAACTAAGACCTAGCTCCATTATGCTGAGGCATTCTGAGAGTGGGTTATTCTGAAAAATTATTGGATCTGGAAGTTTGGATGCTGAAAACCCTATCTGCTTAAGCGTAGTAATACGGCATTTATTTTTTTAACACAAACGTTTTCGGTGTTCTTAGATTTTGAGAAATTATTATTGAGGTCATCGGCATAAGTAAAAGTTTGCGAATTTCCGGGTGCAGTCGAAATATCATTGATGAACAGAAGGAAGAGTAGCGGACCCAGAACCGCACCTTGAAGTACGCCACTTGTGATCAAGTGAGGTGCTTAGGCTTGCTAGGGGTTGCTCGGAAAGTCTGTAGGGGCGTGTTTATATCAGACATGTCGGTGTGTTTTAAGATCTCAGCATCAGTATTAGTCGAATTCCCTACGTTATTGACTACGTCGTGACGTGCATAGGCCGCAGATGATGTTGTAGAGTACATTTTCAGACTGACAGTGGGTGTCATACTCTAGGTGTTGGTTTTTGACAATTTCAATTTTTTTCTGTCTTTGCTGCAGTGGTGTGAGTTCTGTCGAAACGGAGCAGCGTCATTTACGGCAGAATTCTCTAGTTATCTCCCTCCTCGACAAGAAAAAATCGACTTCTATCAAGGAGAAAAGGGCGCATTACGGCTAAGCTAGCGCAGTCGTTTAGCTTCTGTGTCATTGAAACTCAAGCCACACCTTTGTGGGCATAAATGCGCTCCCTCCGTAGTAGATAAGTGACACGGAATGTTTCCAGTACGACATTATGCTTGCGTTTTTCAGAAAGGTTGTTTTTTCAGTTCAGTTCAGTTTTTTGAGGTAAATAGGCGTAGGCCATTGAGTACCCTAGTTGCAACGTAAAAAATGTGTGGTATACAGATAAATGTTCAGGGCTGAACTGAACTAAACATATGCTGGCATCTGCTATGTCTCCGGTCACGATTCTAACACCCAGAGACGGTGCGGAGACCGCATGATTTCGTCTGTTAGCACGTGCTTTGCGGGGCATTACAAACGAGATAAGCTTTTCGTAGCAGTACAAGGATCAAAGCGTTGCTAGCGTTCCATCCTTAAAAACCTACTCCAGGACTTGTGAGGGTTAACCTATCTTTGTTCAGTCGCCTCTCTGCAACAGCACTGAGATATCCCGAAACCTACGAAAGGCTGAGTCGTTTACCTCATATCTTTGATCTGGTTGAAAATGCTTCTCATAACTTTAAGAAAACCGTTTGAAACTTGTAAAGTCGTTGTTGTTATTCAGAGAAATGCCCACAAAACACGGTGTAAAATGTTCGCCCCAGGCGGTAGTCGAACCTGGGCAGTCGCTCGGCCAGAAAACCGTCATTTCCACTAAGCCACTGACTCGCGCCAGTGTCGCCGAAACAAATGCTACATCATGTATTACGCATGATATTAATGACTAAAGTTTGGGCGTTCTGCAGTCAGACCAATGCCCGTAAAAGGAGCAAAAAGTCTAGTGACGTTGGCGGATGTCGCATACGACGATTAAATCTGTACCACATGTTTCGGACTCATCCATAAATTTTCGAAAATGGAGGGGGAGTTAAAAGGTCTACAAATAAAGGTAGAAGTGGTATGGAAGCTTACTCACCACTTACGTGAAGCGAAGAAGCCGACGAATTCGGCAATCCAAAATCCGAAAAAAGCTATTTGTCGAAGGTAGTGTGGTCGACATGATAAAGATTCCCAATTAAAAGTCAGGGAAGACGGTTTGAGTTGGACAACCTTTACTGCCTGAGGAAGTGCGTACACAAGGGCTCTGTAGGCAGTCGCCGCGAGCGTGCCCCAAGCAAGCTGCTGTCTGTGTCCGACCTCGGGGTGTTCTCTGAGCGCGTATGTGCGTCCTTCGTTGTCTCCACGTCGCCAGCCAATCAGAGTGGGGACAGCGTTGATTGGCTTCGAGCACTCGCGCGTCCCAGCAGCGTATCGACACGGAGTGTGAGGCGGACAGGACGGCAACGTGACAAAGGCGGAGGGCGAGGAGACGCGAACTGCCACAGAACCAGTAAGGTGTTGTTGAAGGACTGCACCTACGGCTACGTTCGAGGCATCTACCATCAGAGACAGCTGAGCTTCAGGAGCGGGATGTGTGAGTAAGGTGGCATCGGCAAGGGAATTTTTGATTCTCTCAAAAGCAGTCAGTGCTTCACCAGTCAGCTCGAGGGGACCTTTGGGACCAGAAAGCATGTTGGTGAGCGGCAGCATGAGGTCAGCACATTTCGGTAGGAACCGACGGTAAAAATTGACCATTCCGAGGAATCGCTGTAACTGACGCTTGGAAGTTGGAGGAGGAAAATTACGATCTCCTTCAACCTTGGAGGAGAGAGGACACAAACCTCCAGAGTCGACCTGATGGCCGAGGAACTAGAGTGAAGGCACACCCAACACGCACTTGGAGGGGTTGATGACAACGCCAGACTTGCCAAGACGGTCAAACACGAAGGCAAGATGCTCTTTGTGTACTTCCTCATTTAGTCTGGCAACCAAGAGGTCATCATTGAAGGCGTACACAAAGGGTAGGCCACGTAAGACATGGTTTATCAACCTCTGGGGCATGTGGGCGGCATTACGAAGACCGAACGGCATGCGGACGAACTCAAACAGACCGAACGGTGTGGTTACGGCGGTTTTAGGGATGTCCTCAGGAGCGACTGGAATCTGATGAAAAGCACGCACCACATCAATTTTCGAGAAATCCGCTTTGCCGAAAAGGGCTCCAGCAAAGTCCTGAAGATGAGGCACGGGGTACCGATCAGGAACGGTAGCGCTGTTGAGGGCTCGATAGTCACCACAGGGTCGCCAGTCGCCTGATGTTGCCTTGGGCACCATGTGCAGTGGGGACGCCCAAGGGCTTTCGAACGGTCGAATTATTCCCGGTTGCAGCAAGTGTTCAAACTCCGCCTTTGCGGCCTGAAAACGTTCCGGTGCTAGTCGTCTCGGTCGAGCAAACACGGGAGAACCTGAGGTGCGGATATGGTGCACAACATCATGTTGAACCTCACCACTGCGAATCTGGGGGTTAATTATGTTGGGGTGACTAAACAGCAACTGCCGAAAAGGACTAGCAATATCTGTATCCAGGACAGATAAGTTGGTGGGGGCAGTAAAGGGAGTTAGTCCACGAATGAACAGACCGGTTGTGCGGTCGAGGAGACAGGCACGTCGACAGTCAACAAGTAGATCAAACTTGGCGAGAAAGTCCGAGCCGAGGATTGCATGAGGGACATCAGCAATCACAAAGATCCAAGTGAATGACCGACGAAGGCTCGGGGTGAGGGACAGACTTCCAAAAGTGGGAATGGAGGAACAGTTGACAACTTGGATGTGCAGACCAGGGTTAGGAAAACGGCGATCAGCTGCAGTTGGGGGAACAACGCTGATTTGGGCTCTAATGTCCACCAGGAAACGCCTGCGAGTCGCAGTGTCGCAAACGTAGAAGGTGCGACCAGAGCCGGAAGAGGTTTCGGGAAGACTGGCGGCACTGACCTTCGGGTTGGCCGGTTTTACCCGTTTGCTGTGCTTGTAGGTGAAGGAGCAGGGAGAGATGAAGTGGCGGGCTTTAACACCAAAGGTAGTGTGGCACCAGCAGATGGCAGCTGCGTTTGGACGGGCTGAATGTGGAGACTGGAGATGCGGGGTGGACGGCTTCGGTTGGCTCCGAAACGAGAGGGAGACTGTCTGCTTCTGGAGTGAAGCTATATCATCGCATAGCCTGCTGAGCTCTATCTCCAACTGTGAAAAAAGAGACGCGGGATGAGTTGAGGGAGTTGAGAGTGCTGAAAGTGACGGCTTGGAAAAGCCGTGCATCTCCATAAGACGATCAGCCATCTGAGTAAGTTGCATTTCCGAATGAATGCCGGAGGTGGGTGCCAAAATATGCTGCACTTCCGGTGGAAAGTTGTCCATGATCAACACCTGGCTTTGTCGTAGATTATGAAGAAAGATTGCTGTTCGCAAAGGGGCCACCAATTGTCGAATGTAGTGTGGTCGACATGATAAAGATTCCCAATCAAAAGTCAAGGAAGACGGTTTGAGTTGGACAACCTTTACTGCCTGAGGAAGTGCGTACACAAGGGCTCTGTAGGCAGTCGCCGCGAGCGTGCCCCAAGCAAGCTGCTGTCTGTGTCCGACCTCGGGGTGTTCTCTGAGCGCGTATGTGCGTCCTTCGTTGTCTCCACGTCGCCAGCCAATCAGAGTGGGGACAGCGTTGATTGGCTTCGAGCACTCGCGCGTCCCAGCAGCGTATCGACACGGAGTGTGAGGCGGACAGGACGGCAGCGTGACAAAGGCGGAGGGCGAGGAGACGCGAACTGCCACATCTTCAACCACGACTTCTTTAGCCATGTCAAACGCTGAAACTGACGACGGTTCGTCCAGGGAATTAGACATAGTTGAACGCCAGGCTCTTAGGCGAGAAAAAGATCAGCCAAACCTAAGTCAGAGAACAAAGAAACATCCCAGAAAAAAAGCGCGCACCTCTATACGGTCCAAAAAACGAAGGCCGCTTGCGTACGCGCAGACCAGCGGAGGACGACGACCAGGAGGCCTACGAAGGACCGCCGGAGTCTCCCAACTATGTTAAACAATAAAGATATCGGAACACCTTGTGGACCGAATATTCTGGAGGAGGCTTCGAACACCTCAGGAGCACAGAAGGAAGGGTTATCAACACGAAGATAAATTAATCGTACACGGATCTCAGATTGTGGGGTATTATTTGAGATTCAGACTGTCGAGGGAAAACATGGGACACATATAGTCATCCAAGCATTTCTTGCAGAGTTGCAGAGACGTAGCCTCCACGACTGACTGAGGGAGATCGTTCCATTTCTCCACTACCCTCTGTGTGAAAAATTCAGAAAGAAGCTTCAGCCTGGACATTGTTGTCCGTAACGCCATCGAGTGACCACGAAGATTGGGTGAAAGGTGCCACTGAAACATGTCTTCAAATTTAAGTCTATGCTCAAGGCCATGTGTTATCTTGTAGACGAGGATAAGATTACCTCTTTGCTGCCTGTAACAAAGAGGGAATAAATTAAGGCAATTCAGTCTGTCTGTGTAGGATTGGCATTTTAGACCGTTTATAAGCTTTGTTGCTCGGCGTTGTACCCGTTCAAGGCATGCTTGGTCCTTTTCTAGCCATGGCCGCCATGCTTGTAGACCATATTCTAAGTGGGGCCGAACAGAGTTGCCGTAAACTCTCCCAAAAAGGTCATGGTCAAAGGTTGCGAACGCCCTTTTGATTGCATGGTGAACTCCCATTGCGTTTTTCGCAGCCTTGTGGCACTGCAGTATTGGTGTCAGGTTGTCCTGTATCCAAACTCCGAGATCTTTCTGTGAAGAGTCTGCGAGGAGTGTTATATCTTTCAGGTGATATGTCTTCAGGCTCTCATTTGAATGAGAGTTGGTTGGACGCAGATGAAGGACAGCACACTTCTCTACATTAAAATATAGAAGCCATTTCTCCGACCACGCTTGCAGTCGGTGCAGATTATCCGGAAGGGATCTCTAATCATTCGGTCCCTCAGTGACTTTCCAGAGCTTAACATCGTCTGCAAACGGTATTTTGCCGCCCTCGAGTTCCTGAAGGCTGTCATTATAATAAAGAATGAACACCGGTCGCAATGCCTCTCCCAAACACCAGTACTATATTGCCGGGACGCGGTTAGACGCTGTGGAAAGACACAGAGATCTGGGTGTATGGACAACCACAAATCTATCGCCATCAGAACACTGTAGAAAGATGGTCCAGAAGGCAGTTAGTACTCTATACTGGATCAGTTCAGTTCAGTTCAGTTCAGTTTATTGAGGGAAATAGGCGTAAGCCTTTGAGTACCCTATTTGCAACGTAAAAAATTTGTGGTGTACAGATAAATGTTCTGGGCTGAAATAGTTCGAACACGCCCCTAATGATGGGACAAAATGAGAAGGAGTTACAGTAGGTGAGCTCGGCTTCTCATCGCTCTTGCTCATTTCGGAACATAAATTATTCCAGATTCTTCTTAAGACTTTGTAGAGATGGTGACATCAGAACTTCTGCGGGAAGCTCATTCCATGGTTTGACCACCCGAACCGAGAAGGAGAACTTCCGCACATCCAGCCGTGCCTGCTGAGTGCGCAGTTTTAACGGATGACCTCGGAGTTTGGTCGTGGTAGCAAATTCAAAAAAGTCCTCGAAGGCCAGACTGCAATCCAACCCCTTTATAATGCGGAAGGCTTGCAAGAGATCCCCGCGAAGTTGCCTGTAACTCAAAGGAAAGAGGTTCAGATTTACTAGGCGGGTTGCATAAGGAAAGGAGCTTTGACCCCTAACCATCTTCGTGGCTCTCCTCTGGACTCTTTCGAGGCAGTTTTGATCCACAACAGCCCACGGCCTCCAAGCTTGTATGCCGTACTCTAAATGCGGCCGGACGAATGTTCCGAATGTCTTAGAGAAAGCTTCTTCGTCAAAATCCATAAACGCACGCTTGATGGCGTACAGTACGGACATTGCGGTTTTTGCCACCCTCGAACAGTGGGCGGATGGTTTTAGGGAACTCGTTGTCAGCACACCGAGGTCCCTTTGGGCTTCGACCTCTTGAAGGGCTGCACCGCCCAGAAAGTAGCCTCTTGTGCTGGCGGATCTGGCTGTGTTGCCTAGGCGAAGTATGCTACATTTGGCAACGTTGAACCGCAGGAGCCAACGGTTTGACCACTCCTCCAACCGATTCAGGTTCATCTGCAGTCTGTCTTCATCGGCAGGACCCCGAATTACACTCCATATCTTCATGTCATCCGCAAACATTGCAACTTCACAGTCTAAATCTCTTGCGGCATCGTCCACGTAGATAAGGAACAAAATGGGTCCCAGAACTGAACCCTGGGGGACACCACTATCGACCATAGCCGGATCTGATTTTCCCCGACCGACGCACACAACCTGCTGTCGACCCACAAGGAAGTTTTCGATCCATTTAAGGAAGTTGCCACCGATCCCTATTTTTTTCAGCTTATGTAAGAGTCTTTGGTGTGGCACAGTGTCGAAAGCCTTCTGGAAGTCGATGAAGGCTATGTGGACCGCGTGCCTGTCGTCGAGAGCTCTGGAGAGATTGCAGCAGGTTTGTCGTGCAGGATCTTCCTTTTCGGAACCCATGTTGGCATTTCGATAGCAGGCCGTGAACTTCCAGGAATTGCATTAGTTCACACTTTATGATCCTTTCCATAACTTTGCAGAGAATGCATGTCAAGCTTATGGGCCGGTAATTTGTCGTCGCTGCCCTGTTACCTCCTTTGTGTAGCGGAGTAATATGCGCCAGCTTCCAATCGACAGGAAGTGTTCCAGTGTCAAATGACGTTTGAAAGAGCATCGACAAAGGCACAGAGAGCTCACTGGCAAGTTCCTTCAGAAGCTTGGGTGGAATGTCGTCTGGTCCTGGCAACTTCGATTCGTTCAATGCCTCTAATTCTCTTCGGACAATGCCTTCTGAGAAGAGTATATCACTGACGCTTGGAGTCGGCAGTTCTTCTGTGGAGGGAGGAAGGAACATTGCCTCATTGGTGTAGATTGTTTGGAAAAACCGTGAAAAATACGCCTCTTTATCCCTACTATCAGCGATCTCATCGCCATCAGTAGTCTTTATGAAGGGGATTTGATGCCTGTTCCTTGTAGTTCGTCGGAGGTAGCTGTAGAGCAATTTTGGGTTCTGCGTTGCATTTTGTAGCAAGTTCTTCTCGAATTCCCGCCGCGTCTGCATTATCAGCTTCCTCAGTTTGTTCCTCTGTGTCTTGTAGGTGTTGAAGCATTCAGCTTGTCTAGTGACGCAGTATTTTCTCCACAATTTGTGCTTCCTGTTGATTTCTTTCTTGAGGTTGCTATTTAGCCACCCAGGGCGTTTGTTCAGTCTTACACTAGTCAGTGGGCAGTGGTTGTTGATGAGCTGCAGAAGGACATTCTTGAACAGCTCCCAGTCATCGTTGGCACTTCCTGTAACCAATGAGCCCCAGTCAAGACCGGATAAGTCTGCCCTCATCTGATTGAACTCGCCCCGCCAAACATTACGCCTTTTGTGGTGTGGAGTATGTGAAATGGAGAATAAAGAATAATCCCACATAAGCACTACGTGGTCACTTCGGCCAAGGGGCGGCAGGGAGGTGATCTCGTCTATGCTGTCTGGTGTTTTCGTAAAAACCAGATCCAGGCAGTTTGCTCTTTGTCCTTCACGTGTTCTCGTTGGGAACATTACATGTTGTGTGAAGCACGCATTTAATGTTTTGCTCAACAGGCGGTAATCGAATGCCGATTTAGGACCTGACGCTTGGAGGGTATTCCAGTTTGTTCCTGGTGCGTTGAAGTCGCCCATGATCATGATGTTAGGTCGACTGGAAAAGTTCTCCAACTACTCCAATAGTTGAGTGTCGGCGATTCGGTCTGTCCGAGGTGGTCGGTAGACAGTGAGGACATCGAGACATGGGGAACCGGTAGCCTTGATGGTCAACCAGATAGCTTCCGTACTGCACGCAAACTTGGTGGTGTTATCCGACACTGCCAGACCGTCATTCACATACACAACGATACCACCACCCTGACGATGTTCCCTGTCCCTCCGATAAATTTGGTATCCAGGCAAGGCTACTTCGTTATCGCTAATATTCCCGGACAGCCAGGTCTCAGTTACTGCTAAAACATCTGGAGACAGCTCAACAAGGCAAAGTTTTAGTTCGTCTAGTTTCGATATGAGGCTTTGGGCATTCGTGTACAAGCACCTCAGTTTAGCACCAGCCAAATTTCCCGTTGCATTTGTTACTGCTGTGAGCATTACTCCGTTATCGCGGACGTCGTGTTCTCTAGGGTCTTCCGTTACCTGATTGGTTTCATTTACAAGCCTTGTTTCAGTCAGATCACTGGACGCTACGGGCTCACTTGTGTTGGCGCCTTGATCAGGTGGTTCAACGAAGGTGTCTGTTTTAGCTGAGTAGCTGTCGTCGTTCGTAGTATTACAGGCTGGTTCCACTGAAACGGCATATATTTTCGAACTACCTTCCACTTGAAGATAGCCAGATTGTGTTCGCCATCCTTCAGTCTTGATTTTAACTGCAAGACAAGTTCCCGGCGTTTCAACCGTTCCGCTGGTGAATAGTCCGGTTGAAAAAAAACCTGTTTGTGTGTGTTTCTGAGATCGGTTTTTTTAGAGAGGATAAACTTGATTTGCTCTTTGTTCTCCAGCATAATTTTGAGAGGGCGAGGTGGTTGTGCTACTGTCCTGTCTTCACTACTTTTTCCTATCCGGAATGCTTTCAGAACCTTTATTTCCATGTCTGCCGGCAGTAAATGATTTAGCAGACCATGAAAAGAAGCAAGGTCCTCTGAGACACGGTCTTCAGGTCTGACTGCATTCGATTCTGACGAACCC